ATCTTTTGGAGGGAGATAGTAGTTGCACTTCACTGACGTGACACCTCTTAACTGGCTTAGGCTTTCTTATCTACGGTAAAGAGAGGGTTTAGTACTTCAAGTRCTCCTGATTTTCTCCTGTGATCAGCTAAATGCTTCTGTTTTCTTTGTAGGTCTCTGTATTTTACTCCCATGGGAGAGATTTTTCTCTTAAGTGTGGCTGCTGCACAACCACACATAAGCTGAATGCACCGGGGAAGTGGTTTGAGTTTTGTGCTCTAAAAAAAAGTGTGTTGGCAGGAAAGTATTTGCAATACTCTGGATTGACAGTATTGTAGATGTTCCTCCAGTGCTGGTTCGAAGGAGGGTTTTGTTCAGGCTATGTAATTAGAATTCATATTGAGATGTCTGTATATATGCAATATAATTTGTTTTTAGCTCAAGCTTCAAAAAGTATTTTYGACTTTTGCCTGGAGGCCTATACGAAATTTAAAGCTAATTGAATGGATAAACAAGCCAGTTAATTCTCATATAATTTAGTATATTTAGTCAGTATACTGCATTGCTAGATATTATTTCATTGTTTTCTGTCTTGATAGCAAAAATATTGCTTTGTTTATGTTGCTTAGAGTGGAAGTAAGTTCTTATCCGGACTGAGCTGAGTTTCATAATGGAGTTTTGAAAATAGAATTTATTTAAAATGTGCATGTACTTGGTTTGGTTTCTTGGAAACACTGATACCCTTARCTAATGTGATCACAGAATCACAGAATGGATTARGTTGGAAGGGACCACAGTGGATCATCTGGTCCAACMTTCYTGCTCAAGCAGGGTCRACCTRTAACASATTGCACAGGGTTGTATCCATATGACTTCAAGGATSTCTAGTGAGGGAGACTCCACAATGTCCTTAGGCAACCTGTTTCAGTGCTTGGCCACCCACATAGGTACATCACATAGGGCTATGTCTAGGTAGATCACATCTGATGGTTTAGGTATATCTGATTCATCAAGTGGAGGACCTGTGCTYGGTCTGTTCCTGCTTACATCAGTGTAACCCGTCAAAATTAAAACAATATGATGAGAATTTACTGGTTATTACCTGCTCGTCCAGCTTACGAATATTTCCATTAATTTAAATAACAGGTATCATCTTTCAAAAACATGCTTTTCTATATGTTTACCAATTTTTTTTACCTTATGTAGCTTAAATGATGAATCAGTTTTAGRAAGGGAATTGCTTTAAAGATGGTGCAGCATTCTGTGTTTTTGAAGGGTGTGCTGTTCCTTTTGAGTGATGCAGTTCTGTAGATGTTTATTTGTTCAGGCTTTCATGTGAAATTTTCTAGTAGTTCTTACTAAATACTGATTTTTCAGAGGAGTCAGTATGGTGAATATTTTTATTTTTTAATTAGTTGCTCGTATTTTTCTGTATGAGTTACCATTTTCATCTGTTTTGGCATTTTCTATCTCCAGAGATGTTATAAAAACAAGGTCTTAATTAATTTTTAAATCTTTGGTTCTGCTAGTAAATATTTTAAAGGTATGAGTAGTCTCACTTGTCGCTGATTTGATTTTTGAAAGTAAAAGTTTTGATCGGTTACTTATATGATCAGTCTGAAAAGTCCTTTTTTAACATACTAAATACTGTGTAGCACAGTGCATTATAAGCTCTTAGTTACTTAGAATTCATAATTACTAAGAATATATCAAAACCAAGGAAATCATACCAAAAAGTTGGGCATTTCTAATCTAACTGTAAGCGTAGATGACTAGGACAATTTATGCTTATTATATTACAGTATTCGTTCCATCACTTTAATGCTTCAAGAAGTCAAATGGAAAGTGTTTGCCTCTTTGCTGTCAGAAAATGAAATGGATTTTTTGGTATCTTTTCTCTTGATGGTTTTTTCAGATGCCCCTGYTTTTTGTGGCTGAATGTCTTCCTTCTTTCAGTGCATCTTCAGTGTAAGTTACTCAGAGCAGGATTATCCATGTTTCTGTTCAACTGCAAAGATTAAAACTTTCTTTGTTTTTAAAGGATACCTGATCATCTTATTTCATCTGCAGGCAGCTGGTGTTGGGGCTTTAAGAAGAAGCTACAAATATTGTAAAATTCACAGTTTAACAGCTGGGATTTTAAACTTAAAATAAGGGTCTTAACATTCTCTCATCCGTGCATGCCAGAGTGATGCTTATCATCCTAACCAGGACAGTCTCAGATTCAGTTAGGAGCAAAATAACTACTCTAAAATGACTATCCACTGGATATTTTTTGGATTTTGCAAATTTTACAATAATTTACATATTTTCTCACATGTCTGTATCACTCGCTTCCTATGTACCTTTTTGTGGTTTTGGCATTCACACAAGACTACGTCTGATTTTGCGGTGTGTGTTAGTACAGGAAAATGCCCAATATTTGTTGGTATTTCTGTTTGAAATCTATTGAAAAAAAATTTCTATATTTGATCCTAAAAATGGATTTAATAATACACCTGAAAGGTGTCAATCCTTTGCTGATGTTTAAACTATAAAATTTTATTTTAGGTATGGTGGCAGAAGTTTGTAGAATTGTGAGTGTTATATATTRGTATCTCTAGAGTTTAGTGTATGTATATAGAGATTAGTGTAGATTGAGCTTCTTGGCATCTTCCATCCATCTTTCCCTGAGAACACATGCTATTTGAAAGAGGAGTTTGAAATCTGGTTTGCCATAAATACTAATTATATTCTTGGGTTCTTGCTTTCATAGTCAAGATAACTGTTGCCTTGTGCTCRGTGGGCCAGCTCACAGCAGTTATTGTAAAGGGTAATGAATGATGTTTATTTATGCTTTGCGCCTGACCACATCTGGGGGTGAGAACATGCTGGCAGCTAATTGGCCTGGCAAATGATCAGGCTGTTACAAAGCAGTAGCTTGTGCTAGGCAGGAAAATAAAATCGCAAGGAACTGTCATYCCTTACTCTTATTTATGGTTCCTGGTGGAAATGACAGACATCAGCTGTGAATGTGATATTGAGATTTGTTCTTACCATATGTGTTTCTTTCAGTGAATGCCTCAGATCAGTTTGCTTTTATTAACACCTTGTGAATTAATCTCATCCCCAGGGATTGGTGTCAATTGCAAGTTTATAGTATTACATCCATCTGTGTTTGCGTTCCTTTGTGTCCTGAGACTTGAATGCTTCACTTTAAAACTGATCACGTTAGTGATGTTAAGGACAAACAGCCCAGCCTGCAAGTCTGTGTTGTATGCCTTGGCATCAAGCAGTTTCCTGAAAGTGGTGCTGCCTTTAAACATCTTAGACCTTTAAGTTTCTCTRAGCTTGAAGGAACTAGAATCATCAAAAATGAGAGAAATGCAATAATTGTTCAATGAGGAGTAAGCAAAGAAGACAGTTTAAATTTTTTCATGTTACTAATGCATACTTAGCTATCTTCCTCAGAGCATGCAGGTAATCCCTGTCCCCACAAAGCAGACCTCTTTGTGCCTGTGCTGGAGCCAGGCAGTTTAGCAGCACTTGTGGGAAGAGCTGAAAAGGCTTTTACTCATTACAAAACCAGGATACATTTAAGTGGGTCAAAGCAAAAGGAATTGGAGGAGAAATGGCACCATTTGGATTAGAGATAAAATCATTACTCCAATAGGTTGTGAGGATGTGATTGACAGCCTGCCAAGACATCCTTCCCTGCTGACTGCTTGGTAGTGATATTAACAAGAAGGAGGAATAAAGTTCATATGTGCTGCTAAATCATTTTGATGGTGGTAAAGTTTGAAAAAAGAAAACTTGAGTGTTATTTGGATAGCTGTTGGTGTGTAAAATGACYAGATGAACAGGTCCAAATAACACAGCAGATTTGTGGTGTTAAGTAGCCATGTGGTRGAGAATGGCTTTTGAACACTTTTGGGCCCTTCTGGTTTTGCAAACCAGTTTGTGGCATCTGACACTGCTAAGTACACCTGCTAAACATTGAGGTTATGCCACTGATTTCAAAGCTAGATATAAGTATGTTCCTAGCTCCCCCTCTTGTGTCATTGCACATAAACATCTATGAGTACAAAATAGAGTGTATTGAAAAAAAGCAATACTCTCATTTCCTTGTATTCATATGAGTCCTGTGAAATTATTATTTTTTKWAATTTTCCTTTGTCCTAAAGCAATTTTATTACTAATATATATTTATTTATGGAAGAGCATGTGGATGTTGTTTATTTTACTTCTTCAAGGTGTGTAAAAATAGGCAAAACAAAGGACGGTTGTATTCATACTTTTTACTGGATGAGCTAAGATAATGTAAAATAAATGTAAATGTAAATTAAATAAGCCTTTATTTTGCCTACTMTGAGTGCATGGTGATATTGCTTAGAAAACCAGATGCCTTGCAAACTTTTTGTAAGCAATATGTAGAAAACGGGGTGCCTTTTTCTGTTACTCCAGAAACAGTGAAAAAAAAAATCATGCTTATGCAATCAGGAATTTGATGCTGTAAAAAGAGAAAGGAAAATATGGTAGCTTAAAAGCTTGATACAGGATTACAGTTGTTTTTAGCAYTTGATAGTTAAGCGTCTTTTACTGCTGTGTCTCTGAATTCCCATAACTGATAATTTAGCTGCTAATTCAATTGTGTGACAATTGATTGCCCTAACAATTCCTTGAAGAGCACTACAAATGTCATTTTTTTCTCTCTGTTTACTATAACAGTTTTCACTTCCTGTGTTATTTGTATGTTGTCACCCAGTGATGTATGTGATTAATATATACCAAAAAGGTGTATATGTGGAAAATAGTAAGCAGACAAATTTGCTAGAAAATCTTTTGGAGCGCACTTTTACATGTAGAAGACTGTGCTGATCTTCTAATTTGCTGCAGAATGTTCACCATTATTTTCCTTTTGTAATAAGAAAAAAATATATGATGAACAGATTAAGATGAGGTGATTTTTCTCTCTAACAGTACTGTTCTATTAATAACTGTAAATCTTGTTTTTTTCCCCTCCTCCCTTGCCTCTGTAACAGCTAGCCGATGGCGGAGCCTCTTCTCTACACCTGTCTCCTTGGCTTTTCCCTATAGTCCTGTTGCAAGACTCACCCCATATACCAATGGCTTTAATAGTCCCAGCTTCTCTAAAACCTCCAGTAAAGCAATACTAACACCTGAACGGACAGGTAATTTTTTTTTTTATTGATTTATGGTGCTTACGGAAGTGCTTGATTTAATCTAATCCTACTAGAGTTTAACAGCAGTTTTGAATGATTGTATATGAGCTCACATCTCAGAGGGAAACTTTATTTTAATGACCTAAAATTTGGCTGTTAACCAAGTGTTATGCAGCATGTTGCAGGAAAGTGATGCTAGTGACTAATGATTTKCCTAATAGCACAGTTGTGACTGTGTCAACTTAAACAGTCCCCAGCTTTGTTGCTCATTTCTGCCCTGTGGTGCCCCATCCTTTTGTATACAGAAACATATGTACAGCTGTGTAATGAAATTGCAGYGAGAATTTCTCTATAATAAAAACAGCTGGCAGAATCATGCCTGTTTTCAAACTGGTATTGTTGCTAATATCCAAGATTTATTTTCTGTTTTCCACTGATTTTCAGGGGACAAGTACAAGTTCTAGAAAATTGCAAACTTTGTGATCTGTAAATTGCAAGGATTTTCATTGTCCTACTTCACTACAGATATCAGGAGTCACTTTGTGTCTATGACTTCTCAAGCTGCAGTGGCAGTGGAAAAAACAGTCCTCTGGAGGAGAGGCATTAAGATTTTATTGTTTGCAGGAGCAGGCATGGGCTGAGGATGTTAGCATCAGTGTCACACCAATCTGTGTGCRGTTTTCTTTACAATACACGAAATCACTGCAGAAAGCCCTGTGTTGAGGGTTATGGGCACTGTGGGTGAGTGAGATACAGCTCCAGACAGAGTGTCTGCTGTAGCTGTCTGCATGTAAGTGAAAAGTCTAAGTTTCCCTATTCAATGGGATGAAGCCTGGTTCCTAAATGAAGGCATCTCATGCTGTTTGAGATACCCTCAKGTACCTTGTCTAGCTTCCCACTGCTGCTTCAGTAGAGCACAGCTGTTACTACCTCTGCAGAACCTCAGGGACTGCTGTAACTTGCACATTTAGAAAAGCAAACACATTTTCTTCATGTAGTCCTTCCAAAGAAAAGTAATCCCCTGCCTGTCCTTTTCTCTTGGAGATATTACTAGAAAGTATCTGATTTTTAGTGTCTGCTTTCAGCAGTACTATAGGATGCCAACACACCTGTGATACAAGTACAGCTGGTGAGCCACAGTCTTGCCCTGCAGGCTGTGGGTCTCTGGTGGTCCAGAGGATATCAGAAGATTATTTACTGTTTTTGATGGGATTTTTCTTTAAAGTTGGACAAAAACTAASCAAACTAAGCTCATGCAACTAATTGCAAATTAGTTTATATTTTACTATCACATGCAGGGAAAAAGTAGAATCCAGAGCCTTTCCAAAAGGTGAGGGGAATAATACTTTCTCTATTGTATTACATTCAATCTTACTTGTTACTGTCATTAATTCATATGGTAATTATAAATATTAAAAGAAGAATAGTAAAATTTAGCTAAATGGTTCTGATACAGCATTCAAGTACTGAGCAGAAGTTAATAACACATACCCATTTGCTTTTCAAAACAGAGTAGGGAGAGCCACARTCCCATAAGAGAGATGCAAATGCAGATGTGGTTAGACTACACTAACTAATCTGAGCTGTATCAGAACAGTATTGGGTAAATTATTCACTGTCTGGGCTACGCAATGCTATTTTGGGAACAAGCTGAGGAATTCATGATCCATTCCTACACTTTCTCCTTCTCATGAGTATCAGAGCTCTTTTGTTAGTGAATTGAACTACACCTCTGAAAGTTTTTATGTGCTATTCAGAAAATAATTTAAGCTGTTGTAATGTAAAGAGCAGATAATTCTGAATGAAAGGTAGTCAGACATATTTGTAGCCTAAAGTGTATGTTTTCTTACATAGGGTACATTTCTAGGAGTTCCCCTTTGAGTCCACAGTCATCAATAGACAGTGAACTGAGCACTTCGGAGCTGGAAGATGATTCCATATCCATGGGATACAAGCTGCAGGACCTCACTGATGTTCAGATCATGGCTCGTCTACAGGAGGAGAGTAGGTGGTGCCTTTTTTGGTTTTCACAATAGTCTGAGGAAGATCTCCCATAACAGTTAAAACTGCTCCAGTCTGGTCTCAGTTAAGTGGATAGTTTTTTTTAGTGGTGTTGCCTCTTGAGTGGCAGGTGGAAAAGCTCTTCACCTGCATGGAGAAGGTGTRCATGTTGTTGGGTTCAGGCTAATCTGAACTGGAACTGGATCTTTCAAAATTTGGTGTTTATATTTTTCTGAATAATAATTGAAATAGTTTTGTTTCTGAAGAGGGATGATGCTAAAACATTTTTCTCAYGCATGCATTTAATAAGAAAGGTAAAAATAAGCAGCTCTCTTGGCTTTCTTTGCCTCTACTTCAATTTTCTTAAATTGTCAGATGAGTTTTGAATTTAAATCCCCTTTAAATACTAATTAGGGCCTTTAAATTTAATGTCTTGGTTTAAAACTTGTGATTATGCACAAATCCGAGCCCAGATTCTTTTTTGACATAGATTATAGTTTGGCTTAATAGCAATTTTTGTAAAATGTCTTCATTTAATAATAAAGAGCATTTGACTTAGATGTCACTGAGACAATAAGTGGAGTGTCTCTCTTGCATCCTGTTAGTGCCAAATGAGATATCAGGGAGGAAGTAATGAGATTAAAAGCAAGAGAAATTCAGAGATCGGCCAGAATGAAAAAGCCAAGTAATAAGTRATTATATAAAACAAAAATAATAAAATGGGAAGACAAAATTAGAGCTGTGATCTGGCTGAAGGCACCAGACTGAGCAGGCAGAGTGATCACCTGTCAGCAGGAGAACTTGCTGAGTATCTAGTGGCATGCATCATGTTCAACATAGATATTACTAAGTGTTCTAATTAAAAAAAAAAAAAAAAAAGCAAGTTATGACTGTCAAAGATAAAAAGGTTTACATTAATTAAATGACAGCTGTGCTCATCTCCTTCAGAGTGAGGTTTAAAAAATAACCTCAGGTACTTAGCTCTTTAAGCAATTATGGCATTGGCAGACTGGAAAGAAAAATTGCTGGTTTTTCTTCTGCTCTGTATTAGGTGCAATGGTTGTATCTCATCCTTGTAGTAGCAGCTGGTGGAGGATGTTTGAGCATGTGATAGTTGTTGACCACTTAATGCCATGGAAAGTGGCAGTTCTGTATGTGCACACAGGCACACTCTCTTCACACTCCCACTCAAGGAGGGGGAGAGGATGCATATTAAGACGTTTCCAATATGAAGCAAAGGTGTCAAAGCTGAGGGCTTCTTGTAAGTCTAGAAAGATTGTTATCTGCAGCTACTGTCAGAGTTACTTGACTTCTGGAAGAGCAGTGTTTCTTCCTTGGCTACTGTGCATCTATCTGGAGAAAGAAGGGATGTGCAAGGCACGTGAATGTTTCCCTCTCACTTGACCAGGAGCAAAGAGGCTCTTGTAGGGTGGTGCTAATAGTGAGATGGTTTTCAAAATGTGGCATTCTGAGAAGAGGGTGGTAGGCTTGTGTACCTGTGTAAAACACCGTTGTTACCTCTAAGCCTCGTCTATGAGACTGTATGCTATCAGGAAATAATTGTTGTTCAGGAAGGTTGGACAGCCAGTAGATTTAGATGAGTTGTAAATTTAAGAAATGTCATTATAAAGATTTTTGTTGCATGAATACGAAAGTTTAATGGCAATAGCTTGGAAAACTGATGTGAATGTAATTCCTCTAATTAAGAGTATTGAGAAATTAAAAACTTAGTACTTATGTAGTCTTTCTATTGGCAGAGCAATAAGTGCCTCCTGAGGGTGATTTATCTTAAGAGAGGCATCTAAGACTTTGAAGACTCCTGTGTTCTTTTTTAATATTTTRTTTAAAAAAAGGATTTTGAGGGAAAGAATTCTAGCTTAGATGCTTGAAAGGTAGATCAGATGCCTGAAAGGTACGATAGATGAATCCTACATCAGATCTTCAGTCTGATTGCATTTAAAATCCAAATCTTGCTGTAAAATTCTGTCTACTCACCTGCTTAGTTTTCAAGATTGAAGTGCATATTAAGAGTTAATCACTTAGCAGAAGCTGAATCATCCTCCTCTTGGAATTTACAGGCCTTAGGCAAGATTATGCTTCAACTTCAGCATCTGTGTCAAGGCACACTTCCAGTGTTTCTCTGCCTGTGGGGAAAAAAGGGACATGCAGTGACCAGGAATATGATCGCTATAGTCTTGAGGATGAGGAAGAGTTTGACCACCTTCCACCTCCGCAGCCACGTCTGACTCGCTGCTCCCCCTTCCAAAGAGGGATTCCTCACTCACAGACTTTCTCCAGTATCCGGGACTGCAAGAGGAGCCCTACTTCCCCACAATTCCCTACAAATACTTATCAGCAGCCCTTCTACTCTCCTCAAGCCCAAACACCAGAGCAGCAACCAAATAGGATTAATGGAGGTGGGTTGCATGCTTTTCTGAGAAGTGGTCTTTTCTCTGCGCCAAGTGCCCGTGCCATTTTGAAGATGAATTATACAGAAATTGTGACAAATAATTTAAGCTTGTGTAAATGATTAAGGTATCTTATTGTTAAGCAGTTTTCTGAAAAAAAACTAATCTGTGACCTGGTCAAAAAAGTTGTTGCTTTAGTCTGTTTTAAAATGCTGTAAGATGACCACAAGTGAAGAAAGAAACAAAGAGGAAAGAAGAGTGTATTTTGGCAGGCTAGTWGTTGGTTAGAAGAACCTCTGGGGTTTTGAAGCTTGATGTACACATGTCTGTTGTGGATACAGTCAAATACAAATCAAGGGTTTCAGATTTTCATTTTCTSTCTTAATCCTGAGTTTTCTGTTAATGCAGCTGTGCTGAGTGCTTATGGCCCCTTGCTCCTCTTCCAGGTCTGATAGGACTAATTGTTAAAGTAGTGGGAGATAATGTCACTCCCAAATTACCTTGAGACATTGCTGCTTTTTTGCGCTGCATTTGAGATATGTTCCAGAATCTGAAACATTTATCTCTCAGTGCTTACTCATTATTTAAGTTTCCCTCTATTGTTGCTGTTACCTTCCTTTCTTTCCTCGTTATAATCACGGTTTTCTTCCTTCTGCTKCATTTTACTTTCCTATACTTTCAATCTTTCGTCTAAATAGTCCATTTCCAACCAGGGTCTTGTTTGTAACATTGCAGGTTACAGCTCACCCTTGGGCAAGAAAATAAATGTGTTGTTCAAAACAACACATAGTTGCTATTTATGGTGTTACAGGTATGCATGTTGCTTTTCTGACAAACAAGAGATGACAGGTTGATGCTCAAACAACTTCTATTCAAAGTAAGTCATGTCATGAAAGTATAATTGACAAGTGGCAGTATAGAAAGAGAGAATGTTAACAGAGGGTAGAGCAGTGTGGGTGTCTGTTGGTACAGTATATGTGCCATATTAATTTTAATGTTAYTTTTCTTGCTGGAAAGGTGCAAGAATGGGACAGCACTGCTGGGCTTGCAGAAATGTTGGAAAATAGGAAGGTTATGGGGCATTTTTGTTCAGGAATAAGAGAATGATGTGTTGCTGCCATGTTTTTATGAGGCTCCCAAATGTGTTGTGAATGTGGAACTTAACCATTGGATTTCCTGCATGGAAAGGCATGGAAACCTTTAAGGCACTAAATATTAGACTCCTATTTTATTAAATACTAAGTGTATAAATAAAAATTGTATCACCTGGTTGACTTTTTTCTCAAGAACTTTGAGATGTTGAATAATATGTTTGACATCACCCAGTAGTTGGACACATGACTTCAGTTACCTGTTTGCAGGGGTGACAAACAGTCCTGTAATAATCAGTACCATTGACTCTAAAAGGGAAGCATCTCCTCAGCTTCTACACCTTCAACCTCTAACTCATGCTACCCTGATCCATGGGAGTAGCAAATACTGATGGTGAGAAACATCTTACTTTGGCTGTGTTCCGTGGCAGACAAGGACATAAGGAGTCAAGTGTTCACTGTATTGAGTATGTCTGCATAGTATTACGACATATTCTCATCAGTGCTTACCATCTTGGCAACAATTTCATTGTCTCTCAGAAATTCCTACACATTGGAATGGTGATAGACTGCAAAATAAGAATTTGTCTGAAACAGTTCCACACTGTTTACCAGGGCAATTGAGAAAGAGGGGTATGAAAGATGGAAGAGCTGAACTTTTAGTTYCTGCCTTCAATATGGGTGGAAAGCATGGTCCATAATTAATAATTTAATCACACATACCACATGCTGTGCTRCTCTTGGCCATTCCAGTGGTCTTCCCTAATCTTTATCCCTCTGTCTTCCCCCAAAGAAATCACTTACATTCTTGTATGTGCAGTCAGGGGTCTGGCTCCTGTTTCATCTGGTCATYCACAGAGGTCTTCATAAAAGAGGAATAAGCAGCAAGTAACTGTTGAATTATGACAGTCTGGGGTAGAAAAAGCATTATTTAGCATTGACACAGTGCTTCCCCCAAACTAGTCTATGTATTCAGCTTAATTACAATCTTTTGCCTTTAGCCAAATAGTTTGAGGGATAYTGCTGTACCTGATTTTGGTGATATTTGTTTGGTATGGTACTCTAGTTGAGGTACTAAATTACCTGCACCATAAAAAAATATGCTGAAGAGGTGATAAACCTGGAAAAAGTTAATAATGTTTTTTTATTTAATAATATTTATTATTTAATAATAATTCTTTTAAGAGTGTAATATTGGTTACCTGATGAGAAGCACTTACATTTAGATGCTGAGATGTGGGTTCCCACTTGTGTATGAAGGATCTAATTCAGCTGCCCACATAGAGCTATGTGAGGTACTTCGATGCATCCTGKCTTCACCATCACCTTGTGTCAGTGCTGTTTAGATTCCACAGAAAACCCAGGATCTGTCAGATAGAATGAGGTACCTTCACATAGGCACTGACTGGTGCCCCAGATGCCTGGCCTCTCACTGTAGCCAAAGGTCTGTTTGTTTTCCAGCCATCTGCAGGGTTGCATTTCAGGTAGCAGGTAATTTTTTTTTTAAGTTTTTGGTGCTCTAGTGATCTTCTCTCCTTGCTTGGCTTGAGAATACTCTGGCAGATGTTTTCCAGTTGTGTTTGAAGCTATACTTTTGAGCTTATACACTGTTCTTGCCAATGTCTTGTGGCAAGGTGCTGTCCTTGCTGTAATATTGTCACTCTGTCCTGTGTTAAATTGCTATACTTCGTTTTAAGATCAAATTACATACTTCTGGGCCACACCTCACCACACCATGTAGCTCCCACTCTCAGGTCCAGGTTCTGTATCTCACTTTATCCCACCCATGTCTGAGTGAATGGTGCCAGTMACATTTACTGCCATCCCCAACAGCTTGCTGTACTGGAAGGCTCCTGGTAACCAGTAGATTAAAGTGGCAGGTGTGTGCCATCTAAGTATGTTAAGATGTTAAACATGTTGCAGTATGTTTGAGGTGTATGTGGGGCCACTTGTAGCATGGGATGTAGGTGTACCTGTTGTTACCTTTTAAACAGCATTTTCACAGCTGTTGTCCATAAAGTGTGCATGTTATCTTTGCYTTCTAATAAGTTTTATTGCCTGTTCTGGCAGGGAGACACTAATAGATAAACTTTGTGTGAAATCTGTTTGGTTTTGTTTTCCTTGTTTAATTACACCCTCTTCCTAAATCAGCTGAATTTTCTGTAATGATGRGTTGCATCAGAGGAATTCAATTTGTAAACTTTTTAAGGTATTCTGATTTACAGAGATTTTGTAATAGGTTGGTGGGTCAGAAATAGGTAATTTAAAGAAGATCTGGGAGAGACAGTAGGTGAAAGTTTTGWGTATCTGTTGTAATTAGCTGAAATGAGTTTGAATAGTTTGTGTGTGTTTTATAGTTGAATAAAGCTTTTAATATGTTTGCAATGGAAATATTTATGCTTATATCTCTCCCCYTTATRCTAATTTGAAGAAATTATCTGKTAGTAACTTAAAATGCTGATAACTRTTAATATCAAGAAAACCATATACAGTCATTTTTCATATAAGAAATACCATCAAAAGTCATAAACCCAAGGTGGTATATGTTGTCCATAAATATACATTGTTTTTGTTACTTTGAKGCAAGAATTACTGCTTTCACTTTAATGTTTTAAAAATACTTTTTAYTTCTTTTTAGTAATTTAATAATTTCCAGTAACTGTTACTATTTTTGCCCTTTATACTTCTGATTTTTTGAAACCAGAAGTAACAGTTTACTATAATGCTGYGAAATCATTCAGAGTAGTCAAAATCCAGGAGAGACAGATACTGAAAATGGGATTGATTTTTCTTGTGGTCAGACCCACTTTTCAGCTCTCGGGATAAGCTCACTCACAACATTTTATCCGGGCATCCCTTATTTTATGTGCATTTAAAAGTGTCCATTTTCATAATACCTGAAAATTGGGAACTTTGTATTTTGGGCAAATTATTCCAGGTAAAGTAGTTTATTAYAATACAGTAAGAAAGGGTGGATGAAAAACATGTAGTTCATGGAGTAGCAATGCATTCAATCTGCTTAGTCTTAATGTATGTTTTCCAGTGCCTTTTCCTGTTGATTTTTAAGTTTTTAGCTTGGTTTATAGTTTTAKAAACAGGCCACAGATACCACTCACTTAAAATACTTTGCTTTTATTTTCCAGAAATTACTAGTTATGAGTTACTTTCTTGCCTATACTTTGAAGATATTGTGAACATCATTGGCTGYTCCTCATTTTGAGGAACCAACCTCTGTTGGTTGGTTGGGTTTTGTAAGCAAACTCCAGGCAGRCATAGAAGATCAGCATTTCAAGGGCAGTACATTTGTGTTTAGATATTGGTTCAGCATAGACTTACTTTTCAAGTGTTTTCTGCTCATAAACTGCCTTTCTCACTAAAAAGAAAATTCTRTCTAGGAAATTGTTGCAGACTTTAATAAAGAAAACAAGGAAAAGAATCTTRCTTTGCTACCGTTGGAGTTACATTGAGGATAGAGGTCAGTGGGAGAACTCATGGAACGTTAATGGAAAAATCTTTAATTGGCTGTAACTGTCTGTGGCAGGMGACACTCTGTGAAGCCAGGATGAGATGAAGTAATAATTCTGAATAAAATGGAGGTATTAACAATATTGAGAATGGCATCGCTCACTTAACTGAAGGACTTGGCTTTAWTCTGTTACTGGTGTTTTTAAACACTGATGTCTATGTTGTGTCAGCTGATGAGTCAGACCTTTAAAAAGACTGGTGTATTTGGGATGTCATAAATATTCTAACTATAGCAAATATAATGCAGATAACTGATCTCAGGTCTTCAGAGATGAGGAAGAGAAATTCATCTGGTAAAGTGAAGTTGTAGTGAAGTCTACAGTAGCAGAACACGCTCTGGATGTCTGCATAATACTTAAATCAAGAAGCACAAGATTTTCCTTGTGGTTGTACCCTGATCTATTTGTGCACGCAGCGTAGATAAGGCAGAGTTGAATTTGCAGGATTCGTGTGAAGGATTTAAATATGTGTAAGAAGCTGCTAACATAGTTCAAACAGTGATTCAGAATTCTCTGAGACGCTAGTAATTCTGATTTATTGTATCACACTCCTGTGCTTTTTAGGAGGCCTTTTGTTCAAATAAACCATTGACATTACTTGCCGAAAATAACAGTGAAGGAATAAAAGTGTTTTAAGATGCTTTGCTGCAGAGTTAACTTAAGCCCTCCTTGCAAAGAGAATCTCATTGGATGAGGCGTTTTGGCAGATAGAAGGTGATACTGACCAAGAACTGCTACAGAAGTCCTCACCTGGCAGCCCACCAAGAGTGCACCTCTTCTGGGGCAGCTTTGCTCCTAGGACAACGTCTGTTTGCGTGCTACACGGAATTAATCTTCGGCCAATGATAGTATTAGGTCAGGGAAAGGAAAAAAAAGAAGCAGTGGAACGGGGACGGCGACCAGCGGTGCGGGGATCAGAAGACAGAAGGCAGGTGCTGCCTGTTCTGGTGTCCTGCCAGAAAGAAGCTGGGCCACTGATCCCGAGCTGACTTCAGAGAAGAAATAGCATCAGGAGAAGAACTTCGTGGCAAAAAATCACAGCTGAAGCAGCTGGGTGAGAGGCGAACTGCTGTCTTCACTGTAATTTTGTGGAATATTTGACAAAGAAGGGATTTTTTTTTCTGCTTTTTGACCTGTTTCTAGCAGTACTGAATATGATCTGTGCTGTGGGGTGGCCTTTCCATGTACATATTCAGTTGAGGGCAGGGGATTCTGTRTATCACAATTCCCAGTTCTTGTGCTGTAGAGGCAATGGGCTAATTTGGCATGGATGCCACAAACAAGAAAAAGTGTAAACATGCAGTAGGCAATTTTTGATGTTTCAAAAAGGGCAGTGTGTGCTGCCTAAGGAAAGCTCATCAAATGACAAGCATGTGGCAATATATGCCTGAATTATTCTTAGAARGTGGTAGTAACTAGGATCCAGTTAYTACCTCCCTTTGCATGACCTATCCTTGAATTTTCTTCACACTTACAAGTATCTCAACAATTCARTGTGTGTAGGTCTTATGACCTTATTTTATCTAAAAGAGGGCTGGGAAAGGCGAAGATATATCTAAGATGCTTTATAGGGCTGAATTTTACTTAAACACCTTGTTTCAGCCTAAGTTATAGTTGAGACTCAGTAGTGGGTCAAAGTCATAACTGTGGATGCTGTTAGAGATCAAGTCCAGTCGTTGATGACCACCTTGCCACACTTAAATGCCATGTCCAGGCATTTCTTGAAATGTGTAGGTTCTTTGGAGTTCCTTACTGGTGTTACTATACACATCTTCCTAACAAAACAGACTGCAAGCAACTGATGATTTTTTTAGATTTGCCACTGAACCAGATTAGTGCAGAAGAGGTAGCAGAAAYGGTGGCAAATTCCAGTGTTCATCACAAACAGGACTACTTGAGCAAATTAATTCTCACCTGAGAATACATCTCAACTCTACTCCTTCACTTCTCTCTGTTAATTTTCTCATCAGTCTTAGGAGAACAAAGAGGTCTGGAAATAAAAGAAGCTTGGAAAAATATTTTTGTTTTCTTCCTGTATATTTCCAGCAAGTTCATAGCTAGTCACATCTCAGTGGCCTGAAATAATTTTAAAATCAAATAACTCCCACCTTCTGCTTCCATATATTAAGCTCACAAGAGCCAGCGTTTCATTTACAAACAAAACATCTGAAAGGTTATTTCCACTGTTCTTAGGAGGGAAGCAGGTGACAGAACAAACTTCAAGGAGATGAAAGAGGATGCATCATCCAAGGAGATGAAAGCTGCAAAATGCCATCAAGGCGAACATTTCTGGGTTTTCCCCAAACACAAAACTGACCTGCTATTTTCATTGCTTTCCAGGGCCATTTATCTCAGCAGACACAAGGAGTCGTCAAAGAAGTAATGCAGCTGCTTGATGGATGAGAATTTGCAGGTGCAGCAGGAATCTGCTGCCTGAGGACTGAATGTATCAGCAGCAGAGCAAACTGCTGGAACAAGAAGGGACTAATAAGCAGGAGGCAAAAGACGTGGCCACCCAAGACATGAAGAAAATCCAAGCTACTTCTGTACCCATTTTTGTGCTGTTGTAGCTGCATCCGCTGGACAGTTTAGGCATAAATAATGCCTGGGGTGGCTGATGCAGTCCCTGAGTGGAGGAGTGTAGAGTCCAAGGATTTCTGCTATACAGTGTGATAATAAAAGAGCTATTTTATGCAGTTCCATTTTCCGTACCGCCTTTCCCTGCTGCTCAAACTTTTTTTGCCACATTCTATAATGTTGGCTTAGGATTTCAGGACCTAGGACTTGAAAGGGTAGGCTAGAACTCCARAATTAACTGTAGCTACAGACATTCTACATTCATGATTTTTTTGCCACTTTTGGCCAAGGATTACGTTATAGTGTGACAGTTCCCTCTTCAGTTTGCAAAATTCTTGAATATTTTAGAAATAAGATACATACTGTAGCTGTGTGGATGCTATTGTTTGCATCCCCAGGACAGTTTTGGAATCCTGATAACTGTTTCATCATTGTTACATCACTGATGCTAATACTACCTGGCAGAACTGGAGTGGAATCCCTTTGTTAATGTTCATTGCTGTATCATTGACAGTTTCAGTTTGCCRCTGTTATTAATTAGTCACTGAAGCACAATTCTGATTTGTTTGATGAAAGATTGCTCTTAAGTATTTCTTCTTTAGGATTTAACTGTATTCTAGTTTCCAGGGATTCAAACCTTGCATTTCCTTTTCCTGCTGGAGACAGAGCCTTTCTGTGTGACACAGGTTGTTGGAGTTATGTAGGCATCACTTGAAGTTGCTGTTAGTGAGACTCCTAATAACTGGTATAGATAGAACTGTACTGTCACRTCTTATTACTTTTCACTTGTTAGCTGCTTTAAGGATTAGAGGAGCTCATGATGGTGCTAAATAGGTTGTATATTTATGTGGAGTGATCAACAGGGATTTCTAAATAAATCTGGTGTTCCTGTGAACTGAACTTGCCCTGTATGAGCCAGGAGGTCGACCAACTCCAGCAGTTCCAAGCACTGTGCTGTGTTGTTTCTATGCATAAAACCAAAAGATCTGTCTGGAAATACCCTGCTCTCTGCTGGAGAGAGCAGTTGTAGCTGCTGTTACAAGACAAGCATAGCCCTGCTTTCCTTTGCAGTGTAAGAACTGAGGGCAGGCACCTGCCTGACACTGGAACCTGTCAGGAACAGTAGCTGGTGGCCTCTTAYGCTGGCTGTGCTACCAGGAGGGACACAGCCACCTTGGCAGGGCACACCACTTAGGCTTCTGAGCCTGGCCAAGAGGCAAACCTTGGTGATGTTGTCAATGGCAATTTAATAAATACCCATTGTTTTCCCACAGYGGTGCTTTACTGAAGTCTGTCACGTCCCAGGACCAGGTCCTTCAGTCTGTGCCTTTTTGCCAGTCTCTTCTGATTGTACCAAACTGAGTCATCTCCCTTTGGCTTGACAGCAGAAGAGGCCGGAAGAGTTTTGCCTTAGATTACCYGATGGTGTTGTGTGTTTCTTCTTGAAGTTTTCAGTTTCTCTCTTCAAATGAACTMGTGTGAGTGGGGTTGCAGATGTCTTCTGACCTCTTAGATACTTGCCCTAGCTGTTGTACCTTCCCAAAAACATTTGGGGCATTTGCAGCTTGCTTTTTGTGAAAAGCCCTACAAAAAAAATGCTGTTCTGAATATACCTACCAAATCAGGTATCATAAGTCAGGTAGGAGGAAGAAGCACAGATTTGAAAATTCTTACMTGAACCCATGGCTCCAAGCAACTGAACAGCATCAAGACTTAYCAAGTTTGGCACGTGGCCTCCTGCAGAAACCTAGCATGCTAACAARGTTAGGTTCTGAATGGAGTTACTCAGCATCTTATTGGCACCTGAAAGCAAGACTTCAGTCAGTTAGGATGGATGCATCTCACCTGTCTTTAGACATCCACGGAGTAAATGGCTGTATCTAGCTGCCAATGCGGCTTGCTTTTGTATTCACCGCAAAGAAACAGGCACATTTAGGGCATGGTTCACCTGACCTACTTTACACATCTATGTGAARCTCATCCTAATTTTTTAGTGTTTAAATCCTTGTGATTGCTTAAATGTACTGCCTATTGGTGTATTTAAAATTTCTTGTGAATAATCATRCTGTTACAATAGTCACAATTTGAAGGCTGCCAGTAGTGTATTCATATTCTTCTGGCAGAACAAAACCTCTCTTTTTGTTGAAGTAACMTGTTGTAATTCTGATTTTCTACAGAAATTGTGTGGAGGCTGCTTGTGTTTGTTGGAAATTCTGACCTGATTATGAATGTTGTCTTCTTYTGCTCCAGACAAACTCCGCAGAAGCATGCCTAACCTCGCTCGGATGCCAAGTACCCCCACCATTAGCAGCACTGCTGGCTTTGCTGGTTCTCCTGTCACTGTGAGGAACAGTCAGAGCTTTGACTCCAATTTACATGGAGCYAGTAACGGGATTTCAAGGATGCAGTCRAGTAGTRAGTACCTCTGYTMTTCAGCTGCGTKTAAGGGATCAATCAAGTGATAGAATACACGTCATGGTCACTGATGCTTTGTTCCATAAAAAATGAAAAGGAAACTAGTTTTGCACCAGATTTTAATATAGCTCAGGATTTTCAAAGTTTCTGCTTTGGAMAGCRAATTCTGCCTGTCTTGTTACTGAGACTTTCTTCCTTTCTTTTTTCTTTGTCCATTCATCTTGTGTCAGCATTAAAACCAGTATTATAATAAGTAGTRGTAGTGTAGAAACACTAATAATGCAATTAATTAAGCTCACATTTTTAGTTTTAATATTACAATTGAAAACAATTTGAAATTACAATTGAAAGTTTGTACAATGCTGTTTGTACAGTACGCTGTATAAACACTRTYTTAGAATACATGMACTGTYTCCTACTGAAGTTGATCCTCTTTCTTCTGAGGAAATGCACTAAACAGGGTTTTATTCTCAAGTACAATATACTTATTGAGTGGGGAATTAAAATTGCTCTGTAATTGGTTTCATTTAGATGACTTATCGATGAGAGGATGAAGGAAGATTGATCTAGTAGATGAATTATTAATGTGGTTTGTGAACAAGATCAAGATCCAAACGCATCTTTTTTAGCACGGGTTCTCTGAGAGGAAGTGGGAAAAGTAGATTTCATTGGGCACAGGCAGATGAAACAAGGAAAGAAAAAAGAATTTAGGAAGAAAGGATTTAACTTATGTTGTTTCCAGTGAGATTTTGGAGGGAAAAGTTGGCAAAAACTTTTCCTGTGGGTGTTTTCTTTCAAATTCGAGCACAAGTTACAAATGTCTTCAAAACAATTAAACTGCCTCTTTTCCRGAAAATATTCTTGACTGATGATTTTATTTTGTTGTCTTTTGTCCTGCTTGAATAGGAGAATGGAAATAGTGCAGGTTCCCACATGGGTTTTCAAGGTTGTGCTTTGAGAGTTTAATTTTATTTTTTAGAAACAGATACTTCTTTGCATGTTTATGTGCTTTTATATGTGTGCACGTAAAAAATTCCATTCTTCTGAAATACTTCTTTAAAACCATCTATGATTAAAGGGATTTGCTGGGATGTTTTAGGAGCCATGTTATGATAAGAGTTCCATAACAATATATTGCCAGTATAGTTTAATTGAACCACTCCCCTGCAGTTTTTCCTGTGTCTTTAAATGGTTTAAAGATGGCCTTTTTCAACAACTTGAAAAAGGATTGCTCTAAATGTAGTGTCTTTGTTTATRTGTTTCAAGCTTTTGACAGTTTGCTTGATACGTGGACTTGGAAACTGATGTGTGCCAAATGTACACCAGAGGGCAGGATTGGGTAGAAAAAGCTATGTATAAAGCTTCTGGAGCTCATAGCAATGATTTAATATGATAGTTTACATAATATCTGCCTTGGAATATCGTGTGGCATTCAGGGCCTTTTATAGCCTTTTTATTGTTTTTATGCATAAAGCATAAACTTCTGTGATGCTTCAAAATGCTTTAAWGCAATGTTGCTTCAGCAAGATGTGGTTGTTGCAAGCCACATTTTTTTGTTACAAAAATCAAAATCGTCTAACAGTGACTAGTTTCTGCCTTCAGCTGTTTCTCCTGTTTAAAGCTCYAAGTGTGTGGGTGGATTCAGTGTGCTTATAATGGCTAATTTAATCTCTTTGAGGGGAGAAATAAGGATGAATATGGACTGGGTTTTTTTTCAGGATGGGGGTGGAACTGGATATTTTAGTTCAGTGTAGTGCTACTGGATACAGAGTTGGATCTGAGAGGTTTTTCAGCAGTTTGTAATCAGCAAGTAAATTGTATAATGCTGTGTTTATCTTTATTCAGATCTATCTAGAAATGACCATTACTACCTGATCTTATTTGTTGCATACTGACCTTGTTATTTCCTTTTCTATCACTCTTTACAGTTCCATCACCAGGACAGCTTCAACACAGAGTTCACAGTGTGGGACATTTTCCAGTGTCTGTCAGACAGCCTCTCAAAGCTACTGCCTACGTAAGCCCCACCGTACAAGGTAGTAGYAACAGTAGCAGTATTCCAGTGTCCAGCAACTCACAGTTGTACTCCAACACTGGGATCCCAATGCCAAACAAGACTGCTGGTCAAGGCGTTGTAGGGCGGAGTGCTCTTCCAAGACCATCGCTGGCTGTCAATGGGAGTGGCATTCCCAGAAGTAAAATTGCACAGCCAGTTCGAAGGTAAGAGTTAAACTGGTTTCAGTCTCTATGTGGATGGCTTAGGCTTAAATTGTGGGGTTTTTTTACCTCCTGATTATGAAGCTATAAAACATAATTTTCTGTCTCCCAGTGCTGAGTCACTGAATGGATGGAGATTGCTTGYCAGAAATAGTGATGGACAATGCATRCTGSTAGTTCCTGGTAACTGTGATAATGGATGGTGTGTAATCACATGCAAATAGGAATGGATTGCCACCTGTTTGGTCAGTAAGAGATTCAAAYGGGAACGTCCTCTCATAAACTTATGTGGTTTACCTTCTCCTGGACTTGTGCCTACTGCTGTTTCAGTGTCACAGCATCAGCAAGTCTTAGTGATCAAATAGAAAGAGTTGCAGTCCTGTTGCTGTAAATAGCATTAGTCTGTAAAAATATAAGTTGTATCATTACAGCATTGTGAGGAAGGAGATATCCTGGATAGTACAGTCTTGGGTTGAACCAACATCTTTTCAATTCCAGGTGGGAGACGATAGGTGTGCAGGGAATCCTGAAATATCACATRCTTGCATAAGCTGTACTGTTAAGCAAATGCATTTTTTTGCATGGAAAAAATAAAGAGAAATTCATCTTCAAATGAACTATTTTTAGGTCAAGCAATAAGCTTGGTGAAAGAGATTGTGTTTTAATCACCTTATCATAGCGGGGAGTTAAACTCTTAGCTGCATGTTCTGTAATTAATAGGAATTAAGTCTTCTCAAGGAAAAGCTTCTCTCAACTTGTGTTAACTCCTCCAGCTATTTCTTCCCATTGCACACATCTCTCCTCTTGTGAGGGCCTGCTGTGTGACCACCTCATTTTCTATTGGATGGACTGTCACTGCTTAGCTCTCATAATTTTCATACTTTTCACTACATACTGGCTAGATCCAGAATAGGTTCAATTGTTCACATTCTCTCTTTGGTTGAGTTACTTGGGGATTACACTGATGTGACTGACAACAGATTTTGAGCAACCGCAGTGAAACTTTGATAAAGAGCGGTCAGGTTTCTTCTTTGATGAAGACTGCACCATGAGATTTCTATTATAACCTCCTTTGCTCTCAGCTGGAACTCTCTCAGTTAGAGTTCTTTATAGTTGAGRGTTTTCTTTCCTTTTTTTCCTTTYCTCCACTTCACGTTCTTCTGCAGAGCTCTTAAATCTTTCATAGCAACATGTGAGGAAGCCTTTCTGGGTCAGGAAGACMTGTCCCTTGCTACTTTGTAACTTCTCAWATAACAGACAATATTAAAGAAAAAYAAAATTAAGAGKTTTCAGTGGGAGGGTGAGACACTGTACTCTCAACAYTGTTTTTATTAGAAGCCAATTTAAATCCGTAACAAAGCTATTTGTAGTCCAGAAAGTCTGGGCTCCTGTCTCATTCCCTTCAAATGTGCCTTAGCAGCATTCTGCGTTGCCATAGAGCCAAACCAGCCATTGTTGAAGRTGGATGGTCTGTGCACTGTGAGAATGACAAGTTCATAGGACTTGAAAAGCMCAGGTAGACTGGAGCTCAGCCTACAGTCGTTTAATTCTATTGACACCCTCGTTTAACACCCTCCTTTAATTCTATTCATTCATTTGGAAAAATACAAGCTGTTTCAGTTCAAAAACTTTTCTTGGAAGGAATTCAGTTGTCAGATTTTTTCACTGTGGTAATTCCTAATGAGTGGTATTTCTGATTATCAGTTTAGGAGTCTAGCTTCTTTCAAGCTTAAATAGTGTTTTCAGTCATGACTATTAAAAATAGAACAGGTCTTTTGTTTTTTTAAAATAAATCAGATGTTCAGGGAGAAGTGCATACTCAGAGAAAATCTGTGTCTTCCTACCTTTGGCCAAGTTATTAGTATTTTAGATACTTAAAATGGGTTGTTAGACACATTATATTGGGGTCGCATTAGGGAACTTCAGTGTTTACTGCATAGGATAAAACATTGGAGGAGACAGTGCTTTTAGTAATTTGTAATATAAAATTACGATAGCCAAGATAAATGACTTGGCTAAATATTAACTGCTTTTCCCCTTACCAACAGAGATTCAATAGTGTAAAGAAATTGTGGTGCTWCAATCCATCTCTTAGCCTTAGAAGTCAGCAGCTTTTTTTTTTTTCTTCTGTTGGTTGGATCCACACAACCCATAGCCCTTTCCAACTCCCAAGCTCATGGCTTCTAGAAACCCCACCTTCCAGTTTCTCTGTGTTTTAACCTTATGCAGTGTGGGGGCAGCTTCCCTTAGGGCAAGGTRAGCAGGGAGCTGAGTGGGACAACTGGACTGCCCCACAGTGCCCAGCCTAGAGCAGCATTGATAGTGATCTGGGTCAGCCAGCACTCCCAGTTTCCAGACAGGTCCAGTGATGAAGCAGATTCCAGCTAAAGCCAGAAAATTGATCAGCAACTCGGGTCTGGATCATGCCAAGTACCAGGCACAAGTGTGGCAGGAATGTACCCATACCTGTGGAACCAGGGCTTGCTCGTTCCTGCTGCCTTGAGCTGGAGCCAGTCACTGCTATCCAGCTGGTGGTGGGAAAGTGGAAATGCCCTACAGCTGCTTCAAAACTGTGTTGTCTCAAACAAYGTGACATCATACTGACAGCTTGTGCTTGTTTGAAATGGTTTTCAGTGCTGGTACTTTTTCTATCAATGCCCTGTGGTAGAGATTCACCTCTGGATACGTAGCAATTATTTTCAARGTACTTAATTATTCTTTGTGTTTGCCCTCTTGGTTTGTTTGGTTTTTTAAAAAAAAATATTATTAAACATAGTTTTTGTTTTGGGAACAAAAGGAAGCAGCAGTTGCAGAAAACAGCAGACAGGTTATGTTCTTAGTTTCAAGTCACTGGGTTTGTATGAAAGATAAATGATGCTACACCAAAGTGGAGTTGCACAGAGGCAGCTTGGCTCAATCTAAATTTAACCAACGCTTTTACTTAAGTGCAGTGTTTTTGCTACGAAAAAAAGCACTTGTAGCAGAGAGTTGAAGCTGTTCTCATGACTGATTTACCAACTGCCTGCTTTATAGCATACTTCTGCCTTTTTACAGCAAAAAGTGTTTGGAAGGGAGAGGAGGCATTGTTAACTTAGATCAAAAGCTGAGTAGTGTGGAAACAAGGCTTGAGATCTGCTTTTATATGAAGTAGTTTCACAAAATTTGAAAGACTTTTCAGCAAATTCTGGTATGACAGAATTCTGGTTTTGGCACATTAGAGCCTGCTGTGTTACCAGTGAGTTGGCAGTTAGATCAAGTCAGATGGTATTTTTTCCTTTTTTTAGTTTCACTTCAAATAGTTGCCTCCGTAGTACCTGGAGGGTTTGGAAGATGGTCGGGAAGCATTTTAAAAGTCCTCTTTGATGAGTGAGAGATGCAGCCCAGGTTTTAGGGTGGGGACACACAGGACGGTGAGTTCCTGTCAGAAGTGATAGTGCTGGAGCTGGTGGCTCTGGAAGCAGATTGTCACATGTCTTGGATAAAAGGGTCTAGACTGTTTTATATTAAAAACTCAGTAGTTTTCTTCAACTGATAAATCTCTTTGCTGCTTGCGGARTGTTTTTTTATACTGCTGATGTTTCATGAGCAATTCTGAGCACAGTAGCTTTTTGGAACATGTTCCAATTAGATCTCTGCTGCCCATGGTGACAAAAGTATGTTTTTATTGTCTTTAGCGCTGAAAAACCAAATCTTCCCATCTAGAGGTGTCTCATGCATGATTAGTTATTCACTCAATTCCTTTTTACAAATCTTTCATGCTCTTCTCATTGGAAGTGGCCTTRATTTCACCACAGATCTTTATATGTGTATTAATCTGTAACCAGAAATATACCTGAGTGATGTCTCTAAGCAAGCCCCAAAGCCATTGTCACTGCACAAGTAGATGTTGTCTTTTACCTTGATGTTTCACATGAAATATGACTTGATTTCCCTTTTTATTTTTTTCCGCCTGTCATTTGGTTAATACAGTTTTCTTCAGCCTCCAAAGCCACTGTCATCACTCAGCACGATACGGGATGGGAACTGGAGAGATGGCTGCTATTGATGAAGGATACCCCTCAACGGTGGAAAACAACATAATGTGGATTTTATTACCCAGCTGGCTGGGTAACAATGATTTGGAAAAGGAGGGTTATACAGTATTATGTCCCTCAGGATCTTAATCTGTAACCATCTACAATGCCATGTCATTTTTAAAAAATGAACATCTTATCAAATACTAAATATTGCACTTGATAGTTACCTGAACAGCTGCATTGTTATCGGACTAACAATGGCAGTGTTAGCATTTGGAACTGAAGAAAGTATTACGTGTGTGCAAAATACAAGAATAATTCATTGGAAAGAACTAGGACATTTTGCTTTTGGGCAGCTTTGCCATACTGAAGTTCTGAGATAATTTATTCAGTGTAAAGGCATCATGCGTTTTATTTTGAATTTTGGGGTACCTATGTATGTGCTTGAATTTTTTTCTAGTGTTTCCAGTACATTTTATTTTGTATACTTAAGTTCATTTAAACTTGCCTGAACCTTGAACTACAGAGAGATAATTTAACTTTTTCTGTGCCATAAATAATATTTTTGGGGTAATGTACTTTTTTAGCACTAGGAACATATCTTACAAAATCTTACCATTGGCAATATAAAACAGTATATTTATGTTGCAGAAGCACAAAAAAAAAGGTAGCATTCACTGGAAATTGCCATCCAGCTGGGTCAGCATGGTTTTGTTGGTCTATCACCATTTGTTGAATTGTTAATTTATTGTCATAGTGTTTTGTATTTAAAATGGCAGCATAAATCACATTGCACTTACAAAATTACAGTGATCTCTAAAACTACTGTTGATTTTCAGTACTTTATTACAAAGAATAAAATTGTAATGTTTTATTAACAGTTGCTTATGGAAAATGAGTTTTAATGCTAATCTTTTTGATAGATCTTTTACAAAATCCTATTGCACTAATCAATGCTTTCTTATAATGGCATATGACTTAATATTTGATTACAACTGTGTATACTGCTGTTTTGGAATGTTTCAGGAAATAAAGAATCTATTTCAGCAATAATGCTCTTCTTCAGTGTGCAGTGTAAACATTGCCAAAGTTTAGCATCTCACATCACTTAGCTCCTGAAGTATTTTACTTAGCTTTTGTAAAGATTGTGCTGGATTTTTTGCAAATAGTACCTGTGCTATATGAAAAAAATATTTTAAAATTATGTTAGGAAGCCATGRTATATGTAGAAGACAACTATGTATTACTTTCAAATCAATCTTACTATGATCTTAAGACACTTTTTCACTTTAATGTTTAGAGCGTGCAAGCACAAATGTGACTTGCAATGGGAAACAGTTTGTGTACTTTTCACAATGGCTATGAATCTCAGTTTTGCTCTACAGTTACTTGAGGACCTGAGTTTTTGAAAAGGGCAAGCTAAAATAAAAATCAAAGGGGAATGATTTAGTGATGAGTAAAACTTCTGTTACACTGAGAAGTGATGTATACTAGTGCAGTAGGATCCAGGCATAGCATAGCATTGTTTAGCAGAGATGAACAGTTAAATTTTTCACACAGAAGTTTTTTTAACATAGTTATTTTTTTTTCTTTTCCAAAAGAGCAGAAGTGTTGAAGAAGGTTATCAAGAGCACTCAAAAAAAGAAATTATCTCTGCACAGGTAAGTATTTAGGCAGGAGTGTGCCAAATTCACATTGTTCATTAGCTGCTTTAATTGGAGGAAATTACTTTTAAAGCATTTAGTCATTTGTGGACAATCTGTGATTATGGTGAGGTTCAGAGGCAGCTYGGGGTTGCTTTGCCTTTTGCCTGTGAAAAGTTCTACAACTCACGGCTTCTGGTGCTAGGCATCCAGCATGATCCTCATAAAAGATGGATGAAGGCCCTTGGCAGTGATTAGTTTCTCACTGATGACAACCCTGGTCTGAACTGTTTCTTCACTCCGTTCTCTAGTGGCAGGATTTTACCACTGTTCCTACATGATCTGAGACACCGCAGCACCGCACTGTTTTCAGCTTTTGAAATAGGTTGCCGCTGTTGGAGTTAATACCAGGTTGTACACAAGAGGGCAGTATACACTTTGAAAATACTTTTCTTTTTGGTCGCCAAAGCTCTTGTGTTTTCCAGGCTCTCTGGATGTTATGATCTCTTTGAGAAGATGCAGTTGTTTTCCCCTTTCTAATTATCCTGTTCTCCTGTAATACATCATGTCGGGATTTGGTAACCTAACAGCTTTTCTGTTTTAAGTGTTTTTTGTCAAATACCTGTCACATTAAATGCCATCAAGCTCTAGGAGGAAACCCAAGGTGTGAGCAGCTGGATCTAAGAAATAAAAAGAATCACACTGGTTTCAGCCATGGGCTGTGGTATTGTTGCTGTTTGCCTGGAGGAGCTGGCTTACCCCTCAAATTTGCATCAGTGAACCAGGGTACTACTGCACAGCATCACATACTTCACAACAGTCCCAGTGGGAACAAACTGGGTGGAATATGCAGCACAAAAGAACTTCTGTCAGGCTCAGTTTTGTGTGAGGCAGAGTCTCCTCCAAGGCAATGGAAAACACAGTTATCTTTAAAGACTCGAACTTACTTTTCACAAGGCAAAACTAATTTCTAAATGTGAGGGAGCATTTGGGAACTTTCTTCTCTCTCTTTGATCCRTGAATGCAAATCCTACTCCTGTCTTCTTCTTGTTGCATCCCAAAAATGACCTAACTTTTTCAGTCCAAACTGATATTGGGGTCACCTCTTGAGCTACTGAGTGAGTCATAGAAACCTTTTTCTCAAAAGTCTTTCCCCCTCCCTTTTTAGTCACCGGGTATAAAACCTCTATGTTTCCAGTCTTTGAGCCCCATAATGTGTGTCATGTCTTGACTTCTTCACAAGCTAATATTCTTGTTAAATCTTAAGTCCTATGTTGAAGATACACATTTCTTTTTTTCATGCCTACATATGGAATTCATCCATTACTTCCTCTCCTGAAGTAATCTTTGGCCTTGTAGTGGCTTCAGTATCTGTCCAAACTAAAGCCAATAATTTTTCTCTCTTGCCGGCTTTGACAACTTCATGCATATTGGTACTGATTTTCCCCTCTGTGTTTAAAAGAATTGCTGTGATCTAGTTGTACCCTTCTGCAAGGCCGTGGACACTATCCCATCTCACTCTTAGTTTCTCACTGAGAGTTGAAGTGAATTCCTGTATCAAAGTCCATGATGCCAGCCTGCATTGTGCCTGCTGCAAGCAAAGCCCCTGCTAGCTCCTTSTGTGTTGTCCCTCACAGGAGAGGATCCCTGGGCATCTCCTTTTTTTTAAATTCACCTTCAAGTCCTTCTTAAAAGGCTTTTTCTTTGGCACAGTAGCGCCCTAAGCAGGACAACAGGTAAATTGCCAATGTKGTCATCATCTGCTTTTAAGCCCATAATTTTTAATTTGATTAGCGATTACTGCTATACCTAAATTTTAAGTTGTTGGAGACATAAACTGCTGGTTTTTTGCTTTGGGTTTTTAAGGCATGAAGCCCAGTAGGATTTCAGGCCCACCCTTACAATGCCTGCATACTAATACACATACTAAAAATGAGCATTTTTATCCACTAACACTTTTAAATATCCACCATGAATGATAGGTGAGGTCTCATAATTAAAAAGACTCGGGGCAGTAACACAATCATTCTTGAAAGCAGGTTTGTGGTGTTTAGTCCTCAGGCATGACTACTAATTCAGAAATTCTGGTTAAAGAAGGAAGTGACTAAGCCTGGTAACTTTCACTGTCACTGTTGGGGTGAAAAGGGTATGTTCTAGATAGCCTGATCTCATTTTCCCATTTGGCCAGCCCATCTGCCCAGCTGTCTTTTCCCCCTCATGAATATTTCTACCTCTTGCACTCCCCAGATTCACACTTTTCTTCTAACCTCTCTCAGTGATTACACATGCTGTTGTGGCTCTTACTCATTTGKGGCTGGTTCAGTTCTTGACCATCCACCTGCAGATTCCCACCCTGCTATTCTGTTCCTCACTCACTGGAGAGCAGSTCCTCACTGCATCTTCTGTCTCCATCACTGGGACTTTCAGCTCTTACCTGGCAAGGTAAGCAGTTACGCYTAATCTGGATTAATGTCTGTGGAACAGGGGTCTGCACTCGGATGTGACCAGGCTGCCGGGTTGTTGCAAGGGGAATTCAAGGGATTGTCTTTGACCTAAAGAGGCCCAAGAGGTTATGTCTCTGCATGTGCAGTTCAGTGATATTTTACTATGTAAAGCATCTCATGGAAGGAAGGAAGTGAGTGATTAGATAAGTTTATTCTTGAAACCTCATTCCTGTTTTATATAAGYCATTTTATATAAGCTGTAGTAATTTAGGTAACTTAAGTGTTGCAAATCCCTTACTGAGAAACAACAAAAAAAAGAGTCCTTTGCTGCCCAAATGTTGATTTTGACATAATCATGTAATGGTTTTGGTTGTAAGGGAGCTTAAAGATCATCTGGTTTCCAACATCCCCCACCACAGGCAGGGACACCTTCCACTAGGCGAGATACCTCAGAGCCCTGTCCAACCTGAACTTAAAGATTTCCAGGGATGTGGCAGCCACAGTTTCTCTGGGCAACCTGTTCCAGAGCTTCACCACCCTCACATTTTTTCCTAATATCTAATCTAAATCTTTCCTCTTTCAGTTTGAAGCCATTTCCATTGTCCTGTCCCTATATACCCTTCTAAAAAGTTCATCTCCATCTTTCTTGTAGGCTCCCTTCAGCTACTGGCAGGTGCCAAAACTGCCTCTTCTGCAGGCTGAGCAACCCCAGTTCTTTTAGCCTTTCCTCATAAGTGAGGTGCTCCATCCCTGTAATCATCTTGGTGGTCTTCTGGACTCACTCCAGCAGATCCATGTCCTTCCTGTGCTGGCCCCCAGAGCTGGATGCAGCCCTGCAGGTGGGGTCTCAGCAGAGCAGAGCAGAGGGGCAGAATCCCCTGCCTTGCTCTACTGGCCACGCTACTTTGGATGCAGCCTAGGACACTTCCTGGTGTTTGGTGAAAGGTTAGATTCAGTGATATTGGAGGTCTTTTCCAAGTTCCAACCTTAATAATTATATGATTGCCTGATTCTTGCTTAATTTCTTTTAAAAAGTACTGAACACTTTTCTTAATTCATGCATTACCTTGAACAGGGTATGGAATGATAGCAGGCATAGATACATACATATAAARGCAGCTGGTAGTCTTGTCTTCCACTGGTACATGTGCACTTTGGACAAATGTGTAGCTAGGGCTGTCTGGACCATGGTAAGAAGTATGGACAATGAATGGTGGTTGGATGTTAAACTCTTTACAGAGAAATACTTAAAGGTGAATCTACCTTGACTTTTTAGAGGTGGGGGAAGCTTGGTATCTAATACAGTCAAAAGAGGTGTACAGCTGTCAAAACTGAATGAAACTGCAGGCAGACAAATAAGTGTTCACAAACTATTAAGTGACTTGTACCTGAAAAAATGTGACATACACAAAATGAAGGCAACTTGTTAGATATTCACTGCTTCTCTACTCCATTCAGCCATCTTTGTAGAGGGGTTGAACATGTTGAAGAGATTGAGCTGTGCAAGCTTTTCTTGTGGCTGGGCAGAACAAAACCTCTGTGGCTCCTTAGCATGAGTAGATTTGGCCGTGGAGTGTGGATCTGCAGGGCAGATCCATTGCTCTTCAGTAGCCTWGTTTCCCAGGAGCATAGGCTCCTGCTGCACACCTGGCACTCAGATGCAATGTTGGCTGCCCACTGCCTTCTGTGAAGGTATCAGAGAGGGGACATTCCTTGCTTGCTAAGATTGAGTGTTTAAAAGAGTCTCATTACTGGGGCAGAGTCCAACTAGATAACGATACACAAAATGTTATTTTTGTTTTGTGAGCATAGCTAAAAGATACTGTTTTGCTTTTTCAGACATGATCTTTCTGCTCTGTAGAGCTCTTTCCCTAAGCTCATGCATTTATTGTATTTTTCTATTTTGACTAATTTTTTTTTAGTGAGAAGAATTAAAACAGTAATTCTTCTGTGTGAAAAAATATTGAAATAATATTTCTTCTTTGTTTCTGTTCACTTCTTGTCCCTGAGATTTCTGTTCCCCTAGAAAAATAAAATATTCCTTTGTTTTTGTGGCCAGACGTATAGAAAGAGTGAGCCTGCGGCCAAATTCCCAAACTGAGCTCTAGCAATCCAGCCAACCCTTAATACTTTGCAGTCTGCACGCAGATGTTACTAAACAAGGTATATTATCTGTATCCAAGACTGAACTTTTCAATAATAGAAGCAGTAGATACCATGATGGGGATGTCAACTACAATACACCTAAAATGAAATTTTTGGAACCATTTTTTTTGCAATAATAGAAAACAGAAAAGGTACTGATAGTGTTTCTTTTGCTTTTCAAC